TGTGTCTCCAAATGCTTGTGTTTCAGTGTTCCGCAAACTACTTGATCTTGAAATTTCATCTGTAGTTCTCAATTGTGCAAGTGGTACTTCATCAAGAACTGGTTGTTGATGAGGATCTTCTTGATTCAAAAATGATTGGACATTGTCTCTATGAATAAACTGAAAAGTGTTAACTGCCATTGAAAATATAGATTTAAATGGTGTTTAAATATATACATTTTTTATTTTCCCAGTTAGTTATTGTCAAAATGTGTTTGTTTTCATTGTTTGTTTGTGTTTATTGTTTTGAGAATTCAAACACAGTTTTGAAACAAATAATTAAAAATTTGAAACAAAAAAACAAGTTTTTTCAACAATTAGTCATAATTAATGTAAAATAAATCATTTAATGAAACAATTATTCATTAATTTGAAACAATTGTTTTTCTTTTGAAACAATAAATTATTGTTTTGAAACAGTGTTGATTAAAGGTACATTTTTATCATTATTTTGAAACAAAACATTATAATTTTGAAAAAATTATTAAACAAAATGAAACTAACTGTATCAATTAAATATTTAACATAACAAATAAATTATAAATAGCCAAATAAGTTAAAACAATGATTTTCGAAATGTTTTAACAATCAAAACAACATTGCATTTTAAAAAAATAGATTAATTTAACGCTCAATTTGTTTCTATCAATAAGTGGTCAGACAGCATTACGTTATTTTTCAAAGCAGTGATGGAGTTTTTGTTTCACGTGAGTAGTATATGTAGGTCACCTATCTCGAACTAGCAAAAATTGCACACCATGAAAATCAATTCATTATGGTTTTTTAACTTTTTAAACCCCTCTTTTTAACACACTGTGTTATCCTACAACACAGTTATTATTATTGATTTTCCTGGTTTTTGTGATAATTTATGTTCAAAAATCGTAAAGGATTAAACAGTTTTTATCTGTTTTTTTTTCAATACATTTACTTAAATCAAATGACAAAAATTGACATAAAATTGATTGAAAATGATAATTTTACACTTATATTTTTACATTTAAAAATTGAAACAAATTGAAAAACGAAGTCAAAAACTTAATTAAAATTTTTTACAACATGATAGACCCCTGTACTACTTTACATGTATAACTTTGAAATTAAAATT